AAAGGTGTTGTTTTTCTGATTTCTTTCTCATTCTGTTTGTCATTTATATATAGGAAGGCTACTGATATCCATAAGTCAATTCTGTATGCATCTATTTTCCTGAAAGTCTTTTTATCAGCTGTAAGAGTTTCCTCCTACATAATAAGTTTTTAGGGTCACATGATACTATCATATCATCATCAAATGTTACTTTAACTTCGTCCTTTCCAATTTGTATACCCATGATCTCCTACAATTGTGTTATTGATCTAGCTGAGACTTCACATACTATATTGAATATGTATGGAAAAAGTGGGCAATCTTGTCTTGTTCCCGATTTTAAATGAACTGCTTAGAATTTTCTCCATTTAAGTTGACTTTGGCTATCGGCTTGCTGTAAACTGTGTTTATTTTGTCAAGTTATGTCCCTTGTATTCCTAATCTCTCCAGGACTTTTATCATGAAAGGGTATTAGAGTTTGTCAAAGGTCTTTTCTTCATCTTTTCTTTAGAAGTATTATAGTATTTTTTTTTTAAATAAAAGCCAGGAAAGAAGTATGTGTAGATTTTGTTGAGAGGTTACTGTTTCTTTGCTGGATGAGGGTAGCTCTCCTTTATGCTCCACCTCTCTTACATCTCCATCTGTAGCATAGCTTTGTTACTTGGTTACAGAGAGGACAGTAGATGAAAAGAGGGGAAATGCAAACACAAACATGAAGAGGAAAGTCAGAAGTCTGCTACAGCCTTGAGCCAACTGGGAGAATTCATTCCCAGCTTCTTACACTACAGTCACAAAGGCATTTGATAGATTGTGTAGAGAAAACTAAAGCACTGTAACCAAGTAACAACGTTGAACAGTTTTGCTCACCAATAAGATTTGCCTTTCAAATGTTTTTCATCTCAGTAAACAGGTCTCTTCGTCTGAGCCATGTAGTCTGGACTCTGGATGTCAGTTCCTTTGACAGCTGGCAGGCTCTGGGAACAATAGGCTGAAATGGAGAGACTCTGTTGGTGGATGTCTGCTGTGGTCCCAGCACAGCTATGGATACTATCAAACTGGAAGCTGAACATACACAATGCCTGCTCTCAACGAGTTAAGTTTTCCAGAGCCTTGAATGCCAAGCTGATAAGCCAGAGTGTTGTTCTTCATACCATGGAGATTTAAGGAAGGAGAGTAAGCTCTGACAAGGCCTTCTGTGCATGTGCACATTTCCCTGTGTCTGCATGTTCTCGTCTCCACTGTCTCTCGACTTCTTCACACCACCATTCCTATCTTGGTTTGTCTGTCTTCTTGTCACACTTGGCTTAAACATCTGCTTTCCCAGAAAACCTTATGAATGTCATTCATATCCATTCCCTTAGCTCTCTATCTCAGTATCTGTAGCTCTATGATGGTTTGTATATGCTTGGGCCAGGGAAAGGCACTATTAGGAGTATGGCCTTGTTGGAAAGGTGTGTCACTGTGGGTGTAGGCTTTAATACTCTAATCCTATCTGTCTGGAGGTCAGTATTTTGTTAGCAATCTTCAGATGAAGATGTAGAACTCTCAGCTCCTCCATGCCTGCCTAGATGCTGCCATGTTCCCACCTTGATGATAGTGGACTGAACAGAGCCTGTAAGCCAGCCCCAACTAAATGTCGTCTTTATAAGAGTTGCCAGCGAAGGCTCAGAAAGGAAGCTGGTGGGACTGGAGAGGGGTAGGGTTGTAATTTACTACTAAAGGAAGCTTTAGAATACTCCTCAAAAAATTGTGGAGATTCTTGAGCAGTACTTAGATCCATAGGCACCTCTTTCTCAGGTTGAACAATGCCTGAAAGCCATGAAAGAGATGGATCAACAATGGGGGTGTGAAAATTAGACATTGACTAATGATCAGGAAGCCAACTGCCATGGCAGGTGGTTCTAGCACAGAGCCCAACACTTATCTTCTCCTGGTAGATAAAATAAATCTGCTCTTATCTATATGCTTAAGGAAAGACTTAGAAAATATCTTCTCAGCCTCCCCACCTCCTCCACCAGCCAGTTTCAGATCTAAAATTTATCTAATGATCAATAATGGATCCAAAGCAAGGGTAACATCTTCCTTTTCCAAATGTAGTTTCCTTTCTTTCTTTACATGACAATTTTTATTTTAATAAAGTTTATTCTTCTGCTAAAAGATGACAGGCACATAACTGGTAAACAGCATTTCTCATCTCACCACTTCCAAATCCTCAAAGAGTTTAATAATTCACTCCCTCTTGATGGCTTAAAAAATGAAGCTTTTATCTTTGAATCTATCTCTAACCCCATTCTCTTCTCCTACTTGCTAAATAGACTTCATTTATCACCCATTTTATGGGTGCTTATCTGCCCCAAGAGGAGCTTGATCAGATAACCTGGGCCTTAAAAAAGCAAAGGAGGATTGCTAGAAATGGCTTCCATTGTTTGAGAAGCTCTCTTTGATCTGCAATTTGTAGTAAGGCTAGAGGATGTCTCCTGGGTCTCTTTGCCTCTTTCAGTGGTCCAGGGGATGGTTCCCTTGGTCTCAGAGACTATTGAGCCTTATGCAGAACATGTTTTCTGGATCTGATCCTGCTGAATGGTTTGAAGATGAATTTAATCCTTAGTCTGACACTGAACATTCCTAGTTTAATGCTGTGATATAATATGACAGATTTATACATTCTTCTGACATAATGAAATGCAGAGAGATGAAGTGTTTTATTTACACAGTAACCTCTTATTTCAACAGGTCACTGGCTTCATATAAGCTTTCTTGAGCTCATCAAAAAAAGTCTCAAGTATTGCTTTGAACACTATCCCTATCCACCAGTATAAAAAGACCAAAGTGCTAGGCACTAAAGTCCAAAAGGAAAATACACACACACACACACACACACACACACACACACACACACACCAGCAGACCCAGAGACCTAAGGAACTTCCAGTCCTCACAAGCATCTCTGCTGCCTAAGTGATCTCTCCTTCACCTGGATACAGGACTGAGCAGAACAAATTTTTGTCGAATGAATCTTTTTCCAGGTTCATCATCAATCATTCCTTCAGGGAATGTTGTTTCCCTCCAGCTAAGCTGTATGGAGTTTTGTCCATATAATAAATGGGATACAACTCTGTACTTTGGAAGAAAAGTAGTTTTATGAAGCAACCAGACAAAATTCAACAGAGTGAGCTCCATAGCAGAAGATTTCCCAGGTTTGGAGAATGGGACACTGTTGGGAGCCAACTCCTAGCAAAAAGCAGCTATCATCTTTACAGCCATCTACCATATACCCTGACAAAAGACTTGTTTTCAACAGCCTACAACAGCTGAGCACACTCTGATAAACATCTTGTTTTTCTCACATATCTTGTTTTGTTGTTTAGTGCCCCCAGTTGCAGGGTGCACATGGTTAAGTGGCTTCAGCTACATTCCCCTGCTTATGCCTATATATACCCATGATTTCCTTTCAGTAAACGAGACTTGAACAGACTCTCTGTCTTGTTTCTATTCTTCGAGTCTCTTGCCCTTCCATCCCCACTCTCTCTCTCTTGCAGACAGGAGCAGCAACTCAGGCCAGGACAAAGTGGCCCCAAACATGGGGCAGACCGGGCTTTTACAGGACACAGAGGGAAAAGATTAGTTCAACTAATTTGGGGAGAATTTGAAAATGTCAGAGATTTGTTTTAAATGATCTTGGCTGTCATAAAACTGAAATTTACCCTGTCAGGGGAGCTTGGCTGAACTGAGGTAGAGGATCTGGAGAAGGGTTATGCTTCCCCCCAGCAGTGGAGCGTGCAGAAGAAACTACACAAGTAGGATTGGAGTAAAGATACCATAGCCCAGTGGTCTTCTAAAATAACACTAGTACTCAGCACAAAGGGGACAGGTTGCATTTTCACATCCTCAGAGCCAGGACAAAGCAAACCCACAATGTGGGGTTTCTGTTTGAGTAGAAGCTTGTGGCTACAAAGAAAATTCAGAGTAGTTCCTTCACTAAAACCATGGGAAATTTCTATTGCTCTCCCACCACATTCTAGAGAGGAAAAAAAAGCAGGGGCTTCTTCTAAAGTCAAGACTTGTTGCTACTCAAAGTGTGGCTGAGGGGCCTCCACATGAGCCCCCACCTTGAAATACCTCATACATGCAGAATTTCCCACTTCAGCTATAACCCTCTTCAGAATGAATCTGTAATTTATAGGCACTAGAAGTTTGAAAAACCCTGCTAGACTAGCTTAGTATCTGAACATTGGAATAGCCTACAGAGCTAGTCACTACATGCATCAGCACTCACCCTCCTCCCACGCCCCACCCCCCAGTGGCACCTGTCTCTACCCACACCCTTCAACACTGGGATCACAGACCTGTACCCTGAGGACTGGCCTTTACACAGATGCTGGAGATCTGGACCTCATGCCTTCCCAGGAGGTACTGGAGGAGCTTTTTCAATGACAGATGCCATCCTTCTGGATTCTGATTGAAATGCTCAGCTTCTCTAAATGATTTCAAATGTGCAACCAGTTCACAAAGCCCTGGGAGGCTTCCTAGTCCTTCAAGAAACTGTACAACAGCCACAGTCTAGACACTGCCAGTGCAGAGTGAGTACCAAGAGCTCCTAGCAGGCTAGCAGAGCCTCTGTTTGCCCACAGATAGTTACAAGCCAGAATGAGGCCAGTCTCTCACATCCAGGTGCCTAAGCTTTCTCCTTCACACATGAAGTTTCCTTCACTGTGGGTTTCAATCTGAGAAACCTCTGTGAAAATCTGTTGTTGGAGAACAAATCAAGCCTGGAATGTCTCTGCCAGCTTGTTGGACACATCTCCTACACACTGTTGGCAATTAAGATAAGGTCCCTATGCTATCAAGGTAGCAGAGGAAGAAAGGGTATACAAAAGACTTAGTGATCTCCAACAGGCAAACAGACCAACCAAAACCAGAGAAGGGTTACCCACAGGCTATAGCACCCTGCAAAGCCTGCCTGTGAGTCAGCTTAGGGAGGCCCAGCCCCTTCAGGAGTGCCTGATTTAGGATCAGCCCCTGCTTCCAGGCTGGGCTGGGCTGCGTTTCCTCACAAGACCCAGTCTTAATAGCAACTCCCCGGCTGCCTAAAGTGTTACATTTTGCTCATTCCCAAGCCTTCTCCCCCACCCCTTTCCCAGACAACTTGCTGGTGAGCAGGGGGTGTTGTAAGCCACCTCCAGCCTCTTCCTTTGGTGACTGCTGTTAAGCAACTTTCAACTTCTTTCATTGCAACGGTATGGAGTTCCTCCGGAAGCCCAGGAGCCACCCAGCTGCTTTTCTGCCTATCTGCTGGCTCCTTTTGAAGATTCTGCAACTGGGGCACTGCTGCTCTTACAACAACCGCTATGCTGGGTAAGTTGAGCCAACTTCTTGTCCCTCAAGGCTCTGACTTGTAATGAGGGTGTTGTTTAAGCCCCTGTGTGTCTCACCGTTTTGTTGTTGTTTGTGATCTCTGTGTGACTGGGAGGGTTTCATAGTCCCCTTTATAAAATGTATAAGCAGCATCCAGTATGAGTTCAGTTGGCTGAGAAAGTGTGGGAGGCAAAAGTCTGGCTATCATACTGTTTAAAGTGTCCCAGCCCCAGCTGTGGCCTCAAAGCTCAATGGGAAAGTGTTTCTGGTGCGCTGTGGCCAGTATCTGCACTATGTGCCTTGGTTGATGCTCAGCATAAAGAATCCTGTGTACCCCACGAAATATGACCTGAAAATTAGTGCCCTTTAGAACGGTGCATTCACTTCAGCTGTGGGCTAAAATTCACCTGTGACTTATTTACGAACCAAATATGACTTTTAAAAAATGTTAGTTTCTGAATGATTATTAGGTATTTTAGATCTGGGCAGTTCAAATAGTTCAACACAAAATAAGCAGAATAAAAGTAGTCAGTTGTAAACATGCTATTATTTTTGAGAAGGAGAAACAAAAGAGGAAAACAGTTTTCTCCTCTCTATAGGTTAGCAGGCTTTGAGATAGCAATCTCAGGGAGGCCCAGAGCTGGGACTAAAGACGTGTACCACTGTGCATGCTCTTATTATCCTGAAGGCTTGCTGTGGTACAGACAGCGTGCACTTGGCTCAGATTTGCAGAGTGCTGTTCTTTGAATCTAGAAATTATAAAATGCCTGCATTTTTAGAGAGGAAACTTAACTAGATCCTCTAGTTCAGTTGCTTAAAACCAGGAGGAGAAGTGATATCACCATACCACTGTTACCTCCAGTGGAAAAAAAATAGCATCCCCAAGAAATGTTGCTCATTTTAGGAATTGTATGGGGAGCTTGTGAGAGTCTGGAACACAGAATTGTGTTTCCCTTTCTCTCCCCAGGGAACGGGATGCTGCTTTTATTTAGTAATCTTCCAAATATAAGATGTACAGGGAAACATTCGCAAGAATTATTTTAAGTGGAGAGGACACAGGATCAAGCAGGGAAGAGGTGTGTGGTGAAATAGAGGTAGGAATATAAATAGAGGTACATATATATATATATTTTTTTTTTCTGGATGCACAGAAGAGCATTTACATCCGAGAGGTTCTTTCTAGTCTCCTGCACAGCAAAGCCTAGGTTTTACATCCTGAAATTTGTCATGTGCCACACAACACTTCTTAGAAATGTGAGCAAAGAATGCTTAATAACCGACCTGCAGCCTAAGGCCGTGGAGGAGTTAATGGGACCTTTCCGTTGACGTCAGACCAGATGATGACCATATATCATCAGTTTAGATGTGTTCCATGTGATACAGGACCCCACTCCTCCACTCAGCTGTGGTCCTGTACATAATTACTTCAGTGTGTGGCACTCATCAGTAATAAGTTACCATGCTTGCTTCAGCTGGGCAGGTGTACGTCCTTTCCCAAGCACCACCGCATGTAGAAGAAATAAGGCTAACATCTTTTCTATCAGAATTTTTAAGAAATGGTGCCACTTCTAGGGGAGATTGTCCTGCCTCCTCTCTTGCTGTGCACTGAAGGTAGTAATCACCATTTCTTTTAGCCTGCAACATAATAAGATAGTCCCAAATGTATAAATTACCAGATGTCTGAAATTTGGAAGGACAAAAAAATGAGATGAAAACTGAGAAGCTGTAGAGTCTCTCACTACCTGTCCATCATAATAGAAGCCTAAGGCCTCTTGAAAATCAACTGTTCTGAGTGTTCCCTCCATTGAAAACGTAGAACTTTAACTCACCTTCAAGATACAGAAAGTCATTCTCTCATTATCAAGGACAAATGCTTCTCTGACTTGGGAATGTTTTGCTTTGTTTACTTAGGAATCCTTGGTACTTATTTAGCTCTTTAGGGATCAAGAATGTGGTAGGAAAACAGGGTAAAACATGAACACTGTCTTTGTCTTTGCTCACTGCCTGTTTAGCATGACTGTAAGCTGTCCTATTGTTATCTCTTTATAGGTTGTGTTGATTTTCTTGTTAATAATTGTGGGATAATCTTATTTCTTGCATTATGGAAAAGATGTTTGGCTGGTCTTGCCCAAATGCAATACTATGTGATTGTCATCTGCAGGCCCCTGAGCATGAATAAAAATTAGAATATTCGAGAAAAACAACATGCCCCTTCAGAGCAGCTAATAAGCAGCAGGTCCTCTCTCTCCAAACAATAACACCTGAAGCCGATGTGTACTAGAGGCTTCCTTGAAGTGTCTCAGGAAATAAGTTTAAAAATGAGTTAAAGAAACTACAGGCCTACAGGGAAATCTGAACACAAAGACTGAGACCTTTTTGGATAACTATCAGATCACACATCGACAAGGGAGATTTAAAAAGACAGAAGAGAACAAAGCAAGGTCAACAATTTGACTTCCAATAATATTGCTCTACCACTGTTCAGCTAGGGGAAGCCTGCAGGAGCTAACAATGCCATGCCAGACATTTCCATCAAAGGGCACTCAGTAAACAAGACTCCCACACAGGCAAACACCACTCTGGCTTCTCTTCTTTCGCCTCATCTTGTTTTTGTGGAAGAATCTACTTATTTACTATACAATGTTGTTAGAACAGACAAATAGCAATCTATACCCTAGGAAGGTTGTGTGTGTGTGTGTGTGTGTGTGTGTGTGTGTGTTGTCCACAGTCAAGAAGCAGAGAGAGATGAGCACTGGTAATCCCCTCCCTTTCTCATTCTCATTCATTCGGGGACACTAGCATGTGGAGGGTAGGTCCTCCCTCAGCTAAATGTTTCTGGAAACACCCTGACAAATACACATGCAGGCACAGACTGGGTAACTCTGGTTCAGAGATAACTTACCTAAAGTCTCTGCAAGAACGTATTTAGGGTTCTCACCCAGCTTTGCCTAACTCCTCAAACTGTATCTTTCACTCCAACACTCATTTAGGAAAAAGTAGTGCTTTTACCTTGTTTTGGAAAGAACATGATCATTTCACCAATAAAAGAAAAGCGTAGCTTATAAAGGTGAAACTGGAAGTTTAATCTCAGCTACCTTCTCTCAGGGGTGAGGGTGTCATGGGTGGTTGGTCAGTCATTGCTTGGAGTGCAGGTGAAGCCCATAGGAAGTGGGAAGTAGATAAGGGGGATCTACTTATACCCCATCAAGGTTAGATGCACTGCCTAGGATAAGCAGGTTCTGATGAGAATCATGCTCATTGTACCAACACAGAGGGTGAGACATCTCAGGCTAAGCCCATCCTGATTTCCCAAGACTGCTGGGTCTCACTATCAGTATAAAGAGGCCTGGCTTCCCACCCATACTGCACGCGGAGACTTGAACATATTGGTTCTCAGTCTGCTTTCTGAGATCCTTTGTTGACACAGTTTCTTCTGCTCCTTTTTTCCTTTCTGGAAGAAGTAGCTATGGCAATGTTGCCTTTTCCTACATGACTCTCCTTATATTAGGGACTGCTCATTGCAGCTAGTATGTGCTTGTGATCACTACCCACCCCTCTACTAGTACATATCTGTCCACAGTTCTATAGCCATCTGTGAAAACAGGATAAGGAATTCCAAGAAGAAAGAAAAACTTTTTAAAGGGTTGTTCGTTTTGAGGACTGGAATCCTGTGAGGCCTGGAATTAGGGTGTGGTCAATCAAAGAGAAATCAATAGAAAGCACAATAGCCCAGGAGAGTCGACCTGCCCCAGGGACATTAGGTATGTTCCTCCCTTCTCTGGTGATTCTATCTCTCAACAGTAGTTTAGAATCCTTTTGCATTTCTTTGAATGCTCTGATATTTAGAAACAGGCTTGAGTGTAGGATGTCAGGAATCTGAGAGTTTCCTCCTCCTTGGTGGTTAAGTCTTTTAAGATTGGAAAGACTCAAGTCTCTCCTTCTCTAGGACTGGCCAGTGTTGCCACATCTGTACCTAGCATTCTGATGTATTAATTGACAATGCCTTTTTTCTGTCAGAGAAGAGTCCCCTTGGACAGTAACTCAGGCATTTGACACTTTTGTTCTTATACCATTGACTTTAATGAGGTTACCTGCATTCCTTTAACTGTCTTCTTATTTTATTTACAAAGATCAAATTTGTCACTAATTATCCCAGTCCAGTGAAAAATACTTCACTTGTTCCCCTTTCTCCCTTAGAATGGCTGCCAGCTGCCTCAGGAACTGTTTTACCTCGATCTGGGGCAATCTCCTCCCAACAGATCTGTCTCTAGTCCTTTCTCATACTAATGATCTTACTAAAATAACATGTATGTTATTCTTTTGCTCAAAGGCCAACTTTGGATCTCTAGTGTTGCCTTTGTCAAACTCAGATTTCTCTGCCTGGCTTTTAAGGCATTTGTAATTGGACTGCCTCTGTTTCACATTTGCTCAGAGCCCACCTCTGTTCAGAGAAGTAGAGCTGTAGCACTGCACACTTCTAGTCAGGGAGGCAGGAAGACCTGAAAGCTTAAGGCAGGCTCATAAATGACAAGTTGTGTGCTAGCTGTCTGGGATGTTAGAAAGCACATGTGGTAAGGCAGTTGCAAGGTTAGTTTTGAACCATTCCCCAACAAGTCAGCGTATACTTAGTCTCTAGTACGTTCTGGAAGTTCCTTTTGCTCTCTCTGTCTTAGTTATGGTTCCCAATGCTATAAAGAGACACCATGACCAAGGCAACTCTTATAAAGGAAAACATCTCACTGGGGCTAGTTTATAGTTTCAGAGGTCCATTTATAGTTTTTAGTCCATTGTCATGGTGGAACGCAAGGCAGAGAGCAGGCAGACTTGGTGCTGGAAAAGAAACTAGTTCTACATCTTGATCTGCAGGCAGCAGAAGGAAACTGTGTCATACTGGGCATAGCTGAGCATATATGAGTCCTGGAAACCTACTTCTACAGTAAAACATTTCTTCCAACATGGCCACACCCACTTCAACAAGGCCACACCTCCTAATAGTGCTA